ATGCATTCGATCAGGGGTTCTGTAGCGGCCCAGCAGCTCACCCAGGAAACCCAACTGCATATTCCTGCAGGCTTGTCCTGCTGCAGCTGCAACAGAGGCAGAGGTGAAAATGCAGCCACCATGATCATATTGAGGACCCGGCCTTGACTACATTTTAGCAAAGAATGTGGGACACCCATGTTGAGAATAAACAGCCGCATCACCAGAGAAGTTACATTCACGCCCCCTCAGTCTCTTGGCCCTTCTGCCTTCCAGGAGGGCGTGTGGGCATGTGGCAGCTGCCTGGGCCTGCTGATTGCTCTCCCAAGAGACCTGCCTTCCGTTCTCCTTTGGGAAGCAACACCACTTGGCTTATTGCCACTCAGTCGGGGTGGCAATAAGTCGGGAAATCGGGGTGCATGTGTTCAGGGGTCACTGAGCATTCACTGGGGAAGCTGAATGGAAGATCCACTCTGCCCTCCTTCCCCAGTTCTGGGGGTTGTGGAGAATCCATGGGCCCTAAATTTGCAAGGGTACCTGCAAAGATGGCACATTTTATTATTTATTTATTTATTGAAAACTTTTATATGCCATCACCACATGCCTCAGCATCTCGGTATGGCTTACAAATGTACAATTAAAAACAATAAAGCAATACAAATTCCATAAAATTATATAAAAACAAAACAAAAAAGCGACTGTTAATGATAAAAATATTTTTAAAATAACAATTGAATAAAAAGGTTTTAACCTGGTGCTGAAAATAATATAAACTCGGTGCCAGGTGCGCCTCTCCATGGAGCGCATTCCATAATCTGGGCGCCACCACAGAGAAGGCCCTGCTCCAGTAGTTGTTCTTTTTATCTCATTTAAAGAGGGCTCCCGGAGCAGAGCCTCTCCCACAGATCTTATGGGGCGTGAGGGCATGTAAGGGAAGAGGCGCTCCTTCAGGTATCCTGGTCCCAAGTGGTTCAGGGCTTTATAGGTTAAAACTAGCACCTTGAATTGGGCCCAGACCTCAACTGGAAGCCAGTGTAGCTGGTAGAGGACCGGCGTTATATGAGAATAACGACCGGTCCCTGTCAGCATCCTGGCAGCTCTGTTCTGTACCAGCTGAAGTATCGGACCATCTTCAAGGGCAGCCCCATGTAGAGCACATTATAGTAATCCAACCGGGAGGTTACCAGAGCATGAATCACTGTTGCTAGGCAGTGCTTGTCAAGGTAAGGGCGCAGCTGATGGATCAGCTGAAGCTGTAGGAAAGCACTCCTTGCCACCGCCGCCACCTGGGATTCCAGTGACAGCTCTGGGTCGAGAAGCACTCCCAAGCTGCGGACCCTGTCCTTTAGAAGGAGTGCTACCCCGTCCAGGACAAGGTCAAAGTCACTTACCTGAAACCGCGATCCGCCCACCAACAGGACTTCTGTCTTATCTGGACTGAGGCTCATTTTATTGGCCCTCATCCAGCCCATTACCTTGGCCAGGCACCGGTTCAGCACAGCCACTGCCTCACCTGGAGTAGATGTAAACGAGAGGTAGAGCTGGGTGCCATCAGCATACTGGTGACACCGCAGCCCAAACCTCCTAATGAACTCTCCCAATGGTTTCATGTAGATGTTAAATAGCATGGGGGCCAAAATAGAGCCCTGCGGAACCTCATGGCACAACTGCCATGGCGCAGAGCCACAGTCCCCCAGCACCACCTTCTGGAGTCGGCCAGCCAGGTAGGAGCAGAACCACTGCCAAGCAGAGCCTCTTGCTCCTAACCCTTAATTTTGCTCTCCTTATACTTCCTCACAACAAAGAGGCAGCAGAAAAAGTTGCAGCTTTTAGGACAGTGACCAAGCACATCTGAGGCAGCCAAGGAATGGGGCTTGCCCAGCTTTCTTGTTCTGGTGGACTCGTTTCTTCCTTTGAAGGCCACCTAACAGAGGGCAGGACCACAGGTGGCCTGCCAGCAGATCTCCATGAAGCTGCCCCTTCCTGCCTGCCATCTGACCTGCCCCAAGGCAAGGCACCCTGGGAAGATGGTGGCAACCTTGTATGGGCAGAGGTGACCCTGCTGATGTGCCGGGGCTGTGGGAGCAGGGCAAATGGAGGCTGGCCTCGGTGGTGCTTGTGGCTGCCTGGCTTCTGGTGCCCAGGCTTGGGGAAGAGATGCGTTGCCATCTCCGCAAAGCCCCTGCCGCATGCCTGCAGAGGCTGTTGCCTGGGCGGCTGGGAGCCGAGACTCTGGGCAGGGCGCCTGGAAGGCACCTGAGGAGGAGGCGAGGGCCGCTCCATCCAGGGGCTGCCTGCTTTGTGGAGGAGCCCCCCCCCCCGCACGCTCCCGGTCCCTCATCTGGCCGGTGGTGCCACAGGGAGCAGCTGCAGCAGTCGGGTCGGTGCGAGGCTGAGGTGCTGTCGCGCCAGCCCGGGCTCGCCGGGAGCGCATCTCTGACTTCCCGGCGCAGAGAAGCGGGGAGCGATCCGGTCCCTCCCACCCGGCCACCGCACAACGCGCGGACGGGTGGGGGCCACGCGGGCAGCCTCTGCTCTGCTTCACTTCTCCTGCAGGCAGAACGGGCGCGCACAGGAGCCCGGAGGCGCCGGCCGGCCGGCCGGCCCGGCGTTCCTCGGCAGTGGGGCGGGGAGCCGCCAGACCTGCGGGAGACGTCCTGGAGCAGCGGCCGGGCAAGCAGCGCGCCCGGCTCGAGGAGACGCCTTCCGAGGGGCGGCGGGCGCGGGCGCAAGCCGCAGCTAGCCGCGCTGCGCGGCGGAGAGCTGCAGCCACTGCTCCGACGACCGGCTTCGGAGAAGCCGCGCCGGGCTCGACCGAGGGAGCCCTGATCTCCGCCGGGCCGGCCGTGGCGGGACGTCGATGCCGCGCTCATGCCGCTCCGCTCTCGGCCGCTGCAGTGCCCGCAGGCGCGAGGCGCGGGTCGGGGAGCGGCGCCCGCGCGAGGCGTTCCAGGCACTCCACCGACGGGGCGGCTTCAGACGTGACGCGCGTGATCATCCTGGGACGATGGCAGACCGGCAGCTGAGGGCCGCGCGCGGGCGCCGCTGCGCTCATTGAGTGCCCCTTCGCTCCCGGGCCTGGAAAGGTACCCCCAAATCCAACGGTAGCTGAATGGGCCTCGAGCCTCTCCCGCTGCCGCTGATCACCCTTTCCTGCCCCCTTCGGAACGCGGCGGGCGCCTCGCCTCGCCGGGACTGGGGGACCGAGGGAAGCCAACGGCGAACGGGACCCTCGCCGCCGCCGCCGCCGCTCCTCCTCCTCGTCCTGGCGGGGACGGGTTGCCGCCGCAGGAAAGGGCTCCACACGGCCGGGGCTCACGCCCCGAGGCTCACCTCCGTGCGAAGGGGCGGCGATCTCCGCGTCGCCTGACGAGGGATTTCGCGTCGACGAAAGCTGAAGGCTTTCCGCGGGGGGCTGCCCGGGGCCGCGCGGGGGAGCTGCTGTCGCCGGCCCGGCGCCGAGGGAGTTAACGCCCGCCTCTTTTTTTCTCCGGCCGCTCGGCTGACCTTCCCAGGGAGAGCAGCGAGGCAGCGCCGCGCATGCGCCCCCTCCCGGCCCGGAGGAGCCCGCTGCCTCGGGGAGCAGAGGAGCCGCCTGTCAGTCAGTCAATGCGGAGTCCGCCCGGGGGCGGCTCGCGTCCTCCCGCCCACCCAGCCTTCCCTCCCGTCCGTCCCTCTCCGCGCGGTCCCATTGGTAGGCGGACCTTGAGCATAGCTGGGAGGGCTGGGGGGGCGCGAAGGGGGTTCTGCCGTGCCCCCGACCGCTTCCCCGCCGGGGCTTGGACGTGCTCCGCGCGGCGCTCAGGCATGGTGCGGAGGCTGTCCGGGCGCGGGGAGCCGCGGGGAGCCGCTGAGCGCCCGGTCGTCGGCCGTCCCCATATGTTCCGCCACCTGCAGACAGAAGGCCCCCACCCCCGCCTTGGCCATGCGCGCCCGGCAACGGGGCCGTGGCGAGCGCAGGCGAGGGAGCCGTTCTTGGGTACCGCGCCCCACCCGTTCCTTGGCAACGCGGCTGCCTCTGTTGCCAGGGCGATGCGCGCAGGGAGATGCGGGCAGTTCTCCGTGCTGGGCTGGGCTGGGCTGGGCAGGGCAAGGCAGGGCAGGGCAGGGCGGTGCAACGAGCGGGGCACGGGTGGAAGCGCATCCCCAGAGCGCCGCCTGAGCCCCTGCTCTGCGGGGTGGGAGCCGGTCTTGCCGTGTGGGCGACGCTCGCGCCACCCCAAGCGTGCCGGGAGGAGGAGGGAGGGGAGGAAGGAAGGAGCAAGGAGGAAGGAAGGGAGGAAGGGATCCGTGACTTGCTAGGGCGGCGACGGCGGATCGCAGCCTGTCCGTTGGCAATGGGGGGAGGCATGCCGCCCGCGAGACCGACCCTCCCGCGGCTCCGGCTCCCGCAGCCTCTGTCCCCGCCAGTCTCAGATGGGGGCGGGGAGCGCCTTTCCCTTCGCTTCCCTCCGTGGCTGGGCGGCCTAGACGGTCCCGAGGGATGAGGCCTGGAAGCGGCGAAGGGAGGGGCGCCGTGGCGGGAAGTCATTGTGTGACCGGCGGGGACGGACGGGCGGACGGAGCGCCAGGCTAGGCGGGCGGGCGCTGCGCCGCGAGGCTGCCGCCCGGACAGAACAGGCGGCGGCGGCGGCGGCGCGGCGGCTTCGGCCTCGGCTGCGATCAGACGCGGCGCTAGCGCCGGGGCTGGAGCATCGTCCGGCTGCCCGTCGCCGCCTCGCTCCGCTCCGCTCCGCTCGGCCGTGCCAAGCCGAGGCGCCCGGACTGCTCGCGGCGCAGCAGCGGAGGAATTCGGCAGCTGCCCCCGCCGCCGTGGGCCGTCGCGGGCGCCCTGCTGGGGCCCCCTCCCCCCTCGGCCGGCGGCGCTGTTAGAAGTGCGAGCCGAGCAGCGCTCGGAGGGAGAGAGTTGGAGGAAAAGGCAGAGGAAGGAGGGAAAAGGCAAGAAAGGGAGGCAGCGTCGCGCGGGAGAGCGAAGGACGGACGGGCGGACGGACGGACGGACGGAAGGAGGAGGAGAGACCGGGAAGGAGGAGGAGAGACAGAGCCCGGGCGACCCCGATGGCCGCGGAGGAAGTCACTGGAGGGGCGCGAAAGGCGACGAAAAGCAAACTTTTTGAGTTTCTGGTCCATGGGGTGGTGAGTGCGGGAACTTCGGCTCTGCCTGGCGCGGAGAGGAGGCGTGCGGGAGCCGGCCCGCGGGGGGGCGGGGGCAGCCCGCAGCCGCTGGGCGCCTCGCGGGGGGGCACGCCCCCTCCCCCGGCACGTGCTCCGCGGGCTGCCCGCCTCGTGCGAGCAGGTGCGCGGCGCCCGGGGCCGGCCCGGTGGGGGCCGGTCGAGAGCCGGCGGTGCCTGGGGGGCTCCGAAGCGGGGGCTGCGAGCCCTCCCGCGCCGGCCGCGGGGTAGCCTTGGCCATTCCTCTTTTGTCTTGGCTCAAGGAATCTGTGACACTGACTCTCAAGTAGGACTGGAAGATGCTTCTCTGCAGGTCAGTGCTCCTTTTCCGGAAGCAGGCAGGCAAGAGTGGGACCCCACGGCACGGTGGGCCCGCGTGTGTCAAGACCCAGATTTTGGCCCTGGTGAGCTAGGGGCCCCTTACATCGCGGGCTGCAGGTGCTGCTCCTCCCGGCCCTTCTGGCCTTTGGCGTGCCTGGCCTGCGGGAGCTTGACATCGTGGGGGTGGCCCTCTCGCCTCACTTTCTGGAGTGTAGCCTAGTGGCCCTGGCAGAGACCCCCTGGTGGGACTGAGCGCTGGCGGGGTCACTCAGCCCAGCTGCGGCTGCTCGCTCTGTGGGCCGGCCCCAAGTTGCCCCCAAGTGGGGGCAGCCCTCAGCCCCCCCCCCGCAGGCTCATCCTCCTCGCCAGCAGAATGACATGATCTGCTGAAGGCAGCACCTTCGCCTGGTGGTCCTCGGGCCTGGAGCTTTCCTCCACAGGTCCCGGAGTCCCTCGCAGGAGGCAGCCGAGGGAGGCCGGGAGCTGTAGCCCAGCACTTCTGGCGGCCACGGGACTGGGGAAGGCTGGGAGAAGTCCTCTCTGGCTGGCATGCCAGGTCTGAGGCCTGTTGGAGCACCAGGTGGGGCTGTGGAGAGGAGGACAGCCTTTAGCAAGTTGGACAGGAATTCTCTCCTCAAAGGCCAGGCAGTGCCAGGAAAGGGGTGCCACTGGCCGGACTCCTCAGTGGGCTCCCCGGCAGCCAGATCTGACAGAACCGTCCTCTAGACTGACCAGGGTGCTCCGGTGTTTGGTTCCTTCCTGAGGAGATGACTTCTAATAATAGAGGGCACCTTAATGGAAGTGGAATGTGTTGGTGGTGCTGCTGCCGCTGCCTCTTGGAGAGGCTCCCCCGGCGTGGGGGAAGCTTGAAGGAGCTGCCTCCTTTTGTGCCCCGTCTTTTGCTTTAAGCCTGGAGCGAGGCGTCCACCCTCCCAGGCCCCACGGCTTGCTGGCCTCCCTCCCCAGGGCCGGCCGCATGCCTGCTGCCCCCTCAGTCCACAGCCGCAGGACTCCTGCTCCGGCATTCTCTGTGCTGCAGCTGCTGGGCTGTACAGCTGCCTTCCTGTTCGCCCGGCTTGCCCTGCCCCCTGCTAGCCGCCGACCTTTCCCACATCTCCCCGGCACTCCAGGGCATCCCGACATGAAGCTAAGGAGTCTTCCCTGATTGTTGCTTGGCTCAGTTTTAATAATGTATCAGTGTTGACTGGAAGGGGTTGCTCAGAGTGTGGTTTTGCTGCGCTCGGTCCTCTGCGGGACATCTGTGGGCTGAGAGCAGCTCCTCTCCCACAGAAGAATTCTTGGTGGAGGTGGACTTCGCAAGCATGCATGGGGCAGGGTGGGGACGGGGCAGGGCTTGGGCTGAGGAGGCACCATGAGGGCTCAAGAGTCTTCTCCACCCACCCCAAAGCTGCCGCAGCGGTTCTGTGACGCATCTTTGCATGTTGCGGGTAGTTCCGTTGATCATTTTGCTTTTCTTCTTCTACAAAGTACACCTGGCATTAAGAGGGGTGCTGCTAATTGGGATGGAGGTTTCTTTGCTCAAGGAAACAAGGGACAAAAATGGCTCATTTGCTTCCACCTTGCATAATGATCCAGCTTTCAGGATGTGTGTTTCCCATGATGCTAAGCACCTTGGCAGGATGTGCCCAGGCCCTGGGCGTTGAGACGGGCTGCATGGCTAGCCAGGAGAACAGGAGTGAAGAGGGGTGGGGACGGGGAGGAGAAAGAGCTTCGAAAGACCCTTTTATGGCCAAGCGCTCTCCCGCAAGAATGTTCAGCATTTAACATATAATCGACAGTGACTTGAACATCCCATCTTCTCTGACCCAGGGCAACCCTATGAGTGAGCACCCCAGCTCACCCCATGAGTGCTCAGCTCTTGTGACTGCCTTTGTGGACTCAGTCCATCTCGTATTTGGTAGTTGTCTGCTTCTACCTTTGACATTTCCTAGCACAACTGTCTTCTCCAGAGTCTTGCTTTCCCATGCTGTGCTCAAAGTAAGACAGCTTCAGTTTCACTATTGTTGCTTTCAGGGAAAGTTCTGGCTTCGTTTGATCTCAGACCCACTTGCTCATCTTTCTGTCAATCCAGGGTTTTGGCAAAGCTCTCCTCCAGAACCATATTTCAGAGGCATTTTCTTCCCGCCTATGTTTTTAACCATTCAGCTTTCACCCCCATACACGGTGATCAAGAATAAAAGAGTGTGGATGATCTTGGCCTTGGTCCTCAGTGAAACGTTCTTACGCTTGATCTAATGCCTTCATTGCCGCCCTTCCAAATCTCAGTCTTCTAACTTCTTGGCTGAAATCTCGGTTTGAATTGATGACTGAGCCAAGGTATGCAAATCTTCCACAATTTCAGTGTCTGAAATGTTACCAGTAAAGTTCTGTAATTTTTCTGTAGTCTTCATGTTCCACTCCAGTCCCATATTTGCACTTCTTATACTTTTGTCAGGAGTCATTTCAATTCATTGCTGCTTTCTGGCAGTAATGTGGTATCATCTGCATAGCCAAAATTATAGATGTACCTTCCATTAGTTTTCACTCCTTCGTCCTCTGATCCCAATGCCACTTTCCTTATCTCTCCTGAATGCAGGTTGTACTTCTAGGGAGATAAAATACACCGCAGTCTGACATGTTTGCCTACAGGAGACCAGTCTGTTTTTCCCTTTCCTGTCCTAAGAGCTGCTCATGTCCACGACAGAGGTTACACAACAGGACAATCAAGCACTGAGGCAGGACTGTCCATGGCTTCTTGTGATCCACGCAGAGGCTTTGCTGTAGTCTATAAAGCATAGACGGAACTTCTCCTGAAATGCTTTGGGGTGCTCCAGTAGCCAACATTTGTTTGCAATGTGATCTCATGTACCTCTTCCTTTTTGGAGTCCAGCTCGTATGTCCAGCATTTCTTGCTCCGTACAGCGTAATGTTCATTGTTGCATCTTTGAGCATCATTTTGCTTACACATGAAATTGGTCCAACAGTTCCGTCATTGCTGTGCTCACTTGTATCTCCTTCCATGGAGATTGGAGCGTACACTGAATGTTTCCAGTACATGGCCCCAAAGTTTCATTTGCCTTATTCAGTGCCATAATTTTGTTAGGATTTGGAACGATACAGTTTTCGCAGCTTGAGTGTGTCCTGTCTGCTCTGGGTGCTTTATTCCTTCTCAAAGTTGCTTTCCCATTGCTTTCTAATATTGCAGATTCTTCCCCACAGGCTTCCTCTTTGAAGAAATCTGACTTTTTTCCCTCTTCGATATAATTCCTCCATGAATTGTTTTCATTTTCTCTCTGTTTTACCCTGGTCAGATAGAGGCACTGGGGAGCAGGTGATCTGCTATATGAACAGCAGCAGGACCCCTTGATGCTCGGCCAGGCTGGCTTGAGCCACTGCCAGTTTCAGCAGGTCCCAAGTCACAGGGCAGGGGAGCAAACTGACTCTGTGCTCCCGCCCCCTCTGAGGCTCATTGTGGCTTTTTGCCCCCCCCCTTTCTGCTTTTTTGGGGAAATCAAAGCCACGAGTGATCTGTGTGAAAAGATTGCAAAAATGAGTGACAGTGCAAGGGGAGGGGTGCTCGATCCCCCCTTCTCAGTGAGACCCTCTTCATTTGCATGGCGGGGGGTAGCCAGGCTCTTCTGATGGTTTCCTCACTTCTACCTTTCTTGCACTTCAACGTGTTTGGGAAAATGGAAAAGTGCAAGCCCCCCACCCCCCACTCCTATTACAGGAGTTTGGACAACGAGCTGTCAATATTCTGGCATCTTTTAAAGGTTGTTGGGGTTTTTTTTTTTAACAGAACATAACATGGCTTTTTTGATAGGGCAAACTTGGAATAGCATTGCCAAACAAACAAATCACCCTTTAAAGAAAATGGAGTTTTGGCAACCCAGTGTCAAAAGCCACCTGAATGGGATGGTGTGACTTGGTGTCCTGCCACAGCAGGGGCTGGACCTGATGGCCTTCATGGCCCCTTCCAACTCTACTATTCTGTGAGTCTGTGAAAACTGGCAGCTGCTGCTAAAGAAGGTGGTTCATACTTTTCTACCTTCCCAGGTGCCAAGAAGCTCAGGAAAGGGTGGAAAATGAGAGAACCGCCAAGGAAGGCCAGTCCAAAAGAAACTTTGAGGATCTTGCTTTGAAAGGAATGATCTAGTCAGCATCCCTCTTTTTGAAAGCGATGATCACTTGAGGCTTTGTTTTCTCTTGGCATCATGCCATTTGACAGATGTCATGACAGCCCAACTTAAAAAATAAACTCCTGGCAGCCTCTCTGGGTCAGTGCACTTTAATAGAAGACCCTCTTCTCCTCTGAATGTTGCATGGGGAACGTTGGAGAACCACAAAGCTGCACAAGCAAGCACTTGTGCCAATCCAGCTGAAAGAAAGAAAGAAAGAAAGAAAGAAAGAAAGAAAGAAAGAAACTTTCTTTTCATGCATGTCTGAGGTGCATTTTTTAAAGTATGTTGAGCCAGTGATCGGTCTTCCAATGGGCTGCTTGGGGCCTTTGAAGGGGCTGTCAAACATAGAAACAGAGTGAGTCAGAAGGGGTCTCCCGGGCCATCTAGTCTGACCCCCAGCTCCAGCGTGCTCCGCTCACAACACGCCCACCATGTGCATGTCCAGCCTATGTTTGAATACCC